ATGCCTCTTGTCTTCAGATACTACTAATTTTCTGTTCTGTTCTGACAGTGTACAAAATAGCATGCCCTGGAGACAACAGGGCTGTGGTGGTTAATTCCTGTCCTTTGCCAGCCCCCTTGGAATCTGTTTTGGTTTGGAAAATAGGAAGGAATAAAACTGTGGGAAATTGTGTTTCTGTCACGGGTTAGAGAAAGAGTTATGCAGGCTAATACACACATTGTGTGAATCCAGAGTATGAGAAGACATTCACCAATGTGCTGTAATTTTCCCCACTAACAAAAATAAATAATGCAGTTTCAATGCCATTTCCTAACTTTTGCACTAGTCCTTGGCTTCCTTCCCAAACAACCCTGTGAACTCTGAGCTGAGGATGTCCTTCATTCCCTCTGCCCATGTCGTTTGATCTGGCTACTGGATCTTTTTTCAGTTCTGGGACATGCGGCATCTCCCTGTTTCTCAGCCAGATTAATTTCCTATGTCTCCCGAGGGCATAGTGCATGGAGCAGAGGGCTGAGTGCCTGGTCAGAATGTTACAGCTTCAGAGAAGGTACATGATGAATTTCCAGGCTATTTCTATTTTGGAGTTTTGTTTTTGTTTCTTTGTTTTGTTTGTTTCCCCCCCCCCTTTTTATTGTTATATAGTTATTGGGATTTTTTAGTTTTTCTTGCTGTGCTCTGTTCCTATAAGTAGGTAATGTTTTCAAAAAATTCTCCCAGCAACCATGAATGGGAAACTGTGGAGCAAGATTCTCCTGTGTTTACATAGCCTGGTTTTGAGGAGACAGTAGCCAGTCTTTCCCTTGTGTTGTTTTTACATGGGCACACATGCACACAATAGGATGAAAAGCACAGCCATCGTGTCAGTGCAGCACAGAGAACAACGAAATACTGACAGTGCAGGACTTGAGAGTCAAACATCTAGCCGTGAAGTTTGTGTTTACAACACGTGGTTTGTGTGGTTTGTAGTGCTGCTGGGAGCCCCCGGTGGTCTAGGGGAAATGACACTGCACTGTCACTGCAGAGACCCGGGTTCGATTCCCGGTCGGGGCCCCTCCCCGGGCAGATGGAGCTCGTTAGCCCGTAAGGCAATCCATCTACATCCTGAGGACCTCGCTGCCACCGTCCAAGCGTGCTTGGCCCCGGCAGATGAACCTCAGGATTAAAGGGTGGGCTCAGTTCCGCGCACACTGTGTCTCACCTAAAAAATCCAATGCGCAGGCTGGAAGGTGGAAAGACCTTCCCCGGTTCTTCGTTCGCGAAGAGACTGGCCATTTAAAGTGCTGCTGGAATGTACAGGACAATGTACAGGCATGACTGATAGAGGAGGGAGTACTTGTTTTCTGTGTTTCATGTAGGAATACTGTTATAGTTTTAATAGTGGAGTGCCAACAGTAATGGAAATGAAATAACAATATTCTTATTGCTTTTATTATTTTGGGAATAAGTATTGAAGGATAGCAATGATTAAACCTTGTCTGTTTTCAAGCTTTTTAAATGGTGAGACAGTTTCATATGGAGACGACCGGATTTTGCAAAATACATAAGTATTTGTGAATATATTCTAGAGCAATTCTTTTCCTGTTCAGCCTTTCTTACTGCACTGCACACTACTTTGCTGCTTTCTTGCCTTCTTTTCCTTTGCGTAATATGTCGAGGATTTGTTTCTTCCTGCTATCTTAACTTTTTTCTTTGTTGATATTAAAGCATCAGTTATTCCTAATGCAGTTCTTCCTGAAACATTCATTGTGTGCTGATAGGCTTAGCAGAGGTGGGATCACCAGGGGAATGGATGACTCAGGCTTTTACACACTGAGTCAACAGTCACAACGAGTAGATTCATATACTTTTGGCATGTAAGTAGAAGCTGTCACTTCATTTCGCTGAGTTTTGTTGAGGAGTTTTTCCAGAATTAATTCAAGCATAGTGAAGTATTGAAAAGTAAAGTGACCTACGTATGTGGTGTGTTTGGGCGTAGGTTATGGTGGAAAATGCACTGATGTTGTTACCCGCTGTCCCGGTGTTAAATTTGTGGTTAAGTAAACGGCCTTAGCATACCTTTCATGGTTGTGTTTTCCTCAGTTTCTTTTTGAGTAGTGTGCCAGTAATGCCCAAGAGATGTGTTTAAATGTATAACATATACTGGTCTTCTGCTTTCACAGCCATGTCATGTTTCACAGTGTCCGAATAGTGCGGACTGTGTCTTTGAGAAGACCTAAGGTTTTCAGAGATACTGCCAGTAAAATAGTTCAAATGGCAATCATGCAGCATGGGGCTGTGAAACTTGCCAGGCTGTGAACAGGATATAACAAGCTTCTGTTCTTTGGCATCAGCTTAAAAGTAGTCCCTGTGTTTTGTTAAACATTTCACTTGGGTTGTTTTTGAGGGAAGTGATGCACTGTGGCTTAAACTGACAAATTCTGTGTCGCACCAGATCTTCAGTTCTCTAGCAGGAATAACCTTGTTGAATATCCTCTCCCTGACTGACAGGGTAGTTGTGAACATCAGTTGCCCAGTGTCACATTAGAGATAAATAATGCTATCGCTGAGTTAGGTGCAGGTTTCATTTAATTTCATTTATCCTTCTGTGCTGGGGCCTCCCAAAGAGTTCTGATGCGTTGTGCTGATCCTCCCCACCAGAAATATGCAGATGAGTTATCTTACTGTCAGCTCTATCCAGTGAAATTCAAGATCATGCTGTGAAGCCGCCTTTTTACAGAAAAAATGATCTAATGACTGGATTGCCCTACTGTCACAAAAATGAATTGTCTCCTATGCTCAGATATCACCGAGGTGGTGACCGCTTAGTGCAAATCTTCTTCCTGTTGTTAAAAGTTTCTCAATCAGATAAAAGCCTATGTTCTTGGCAGCTAAAAGATTTAGTCACATCTAGATAATGTATTTGAGACATTGCACAACTAAATCTGTTATTTGTAGGAGTTTTATCTCCATTCATCGTGCATTAATACTTCTTACAAGAGTTCAGCTGTAGGGTTCCTGCCAGAGTCACTGGTGGTGTTTTTGGGGGACATGTAATTTTGTTTTTATGAAGTTTCTGTGTCTCTCTGTTTTTCCTTTTCTGTGTATTCCATTAAATTGTGAGCTGGCTAGCCTTCCTTTGTGGTGGGTGTGAAAAATTTGACTGTATCTCTGTGTTCCAACTTCTGATTGTGAACGTGAGCTCTCTTGCCATTCCTTTGAAACTGTGCTTTACTGTGCTATCTCCTAAAAACGCGACCATAGAGTGCAACATTTAAGGATTGTGTGGTGGCGTAAGATCAGGGTTTGTGGGGGAAATGGCTGTATCTGGAAATTTCAGTGATCTGGTACCACATCTGTGATCAGCTCTTAGAAAGGACATAGTTCAAATTAGGTGGGTGTCTGCCCAACCTTTTGTGCTTTGGTAACTACTTTTCAGTAGATCTACTTACATCATTCTTCAGGTCATGTCAAGCAGTGCTAATATTTAGTCATTTTAATAACGTGGTGAGTCAGTAGGAAGGAATTGATGGCAACTTGCTATTTGAGTCTGGTGCTCTTCCATAAGCTGTTTCATAAAGGTTTTATCATGCACAAACTTTTATGCTTATTCCATTTTATCATAGGGTCATTTTGAGAATATGTACCAAGAGATTTAATTGGTAATTTGGACTAAAGCAAACACTTGAAATTATTCTCTGAAGGTTAGATTTAATGGTTTCCTTGTCCTTTTTTAACTGTTGTAAAAGAGTGGTAAAAAAACTTCAGCCAGTTTTCCTTTTATTTACTCAAGCAGCAGGTTCAAGCCCAAAGGAAAAAAAAAAAGGTATAAACCAAACTGAATTGGCCTTTTGTATGTATCAGAGCTTTTCTAGCTTGGCTTCTCATCATACCACGTTTGCTTGCTGTGAGGATAATCTGCCTCACCTTTTAAAATGTAAAAGGTCAGCCTCACTTGAGGAAGCCCCTGGTTGGCAGTGACTCCTAGAAAATATCCTCAGCTCTTTCTTGACAATTAGCTTCTCTGAAACTGCAGGCTATTCTTTACCTCCCTCAGGCTTCTGAGATCCCAGTGTAGTTTGTTGCGCTGTGGAAATCACTGGTAGATCCCACCACAGTGTTTACTGTTGCATATTCCTTCATGAAGAATGGAAGGTGGATGGGTTTTGCTTTAGAGCCAGTGCATGCCCCATTACTTGCATATCCCTTCTGAAGAGCAGCTAATGGTGCAATTATTTCTTTCCTCCTCTTTTTCCTTTTTCTTTGGTGCTTTCATCCTTTCAGTTAGAAGGCACAAGGTGTGTTAGTCTAAAAAAATGAGCTAGTCACCTGCCTGACTCTGAACCCAGGATGAAAATGAATTATTAAACAAGAACTGAATTTCTCTGTTAGATAGAATGAGTTTTAATAATGATGCCAGGTAGGCAGAACACAATTATCCTCATTTACATGCCAGTCACTGACAAAAGAATTGATTATTTTGCTGTCTGCTTTTAGGTATGTAGATTTATACCCAATAACTAATTCTGCTAAGAAGATCGTACCATAGTAACAGACTGTATAAACTAACCCAATCACTGATAGCAGTTAGCTGGTTTAGAATGTGTTTAAAATGGTCATATAACTGTGAAAATTGTCAGAGAAGAGAGGATCAAGTTAGGCTGCTAAGAGAGACTTTGTGGGCAAATTAAAGGAGTGCTTATGTAAAATGAACTACAATCGCAGTGTGTGTAAGTGAGTGCGTATGCGCACACACGTTCATATAGTGGAGCCCATGAGCCTCTGGCAGGGAGCTTTGCAGAAGCTGCAAGTATTTTTAGTGGAAACGAGATCTCAGTTCAGTTCTGCAGCATGTGACTTCCTATTTCTGTAAGTTACTTCCAAGGGACTTCCTCTGTTAAATCGACTTGTCTCCGGAGATTTAATCTGGAGCCGGAGCGTGGTCTGCTTTGTCCTGTGCCTGTGACAGCATTTTCCCAGAGTTTTCTTTTGAGTATTTTGTTTTTATTTTGTACTGTCTCCAGCATGCAAGGATCTAGTGGCTGCTACCCGTGATCGGAAGTTGAATACGTTTATACAAGTCTCAGTGGTGCATCCAGCAGAGCACATTTTGACGCGGTATTCAAGCACTGAAATCGTGGAGGTGAGCCTCTTTCTTATTCAATTAATGTGTTGATTAATGAATTGCTCATTTCTTCCTTAGAAAGTGAATGAGAAATAAAACAAGTTAGTGCATAGTCTTAGGTAGGGCAAGCACACTCTGGCAGTTAGTAAAGCATACCTAAGTGTTCCGTAGTTCTTGGCATTTAACCAGGATAAACAGAAATTAATTTGGCTTTTCATGAAAGCTCTGTTGTTCCAAGTAGAGGCATGGAGTTTAAAATGAAACAGGGAATAGTTTCTCTCATGCAGGGACAAGGCAATGCAAAGTAAAACTGAATTAAGAGTAGTAGTGAGTTTGTGAAGTATTTTTTAAATTGCAGGACAAAATAGGTTAAGTTTTGTGATCTGTTGTCCAATTTGTTTCTTGTTCTATTTTTTTCCATGAGAGAGTTGGTGCTTTTGCAATTTGAAAAATATTACCCTACTTCTATAACTTGGGAAAAGAAAATGTGTACGTAATGTCTGTGACTTTATACAAAATAATTAGCAACTTGCATCATGTATTACCGCAAAAGCTGTCTGAGGCTGCATTGCTTGTCCTCACATTGCCGTGTAAGCATCAGTGTCAGAAATAGCAAAAATGGTTCAGAGAAAATTAAATGTGAGCAGGCAATGTAGGTGTAACTTGCTTAACTTACCAGAGAGACTCATTAAGAACAGGGAAGGCTTATGGTAAACACACACATGCGATTTTGCCAAGGGCTTGTTTTAACTGTTAAATACAATGAGAATATTTCATGAGCTCTTTGTGTGATTACTTTCAACCAGCTACTAATTAAATTATTATGCTTTCAGCCCTCAACCATCCTGAAACTGCTTAATTCAAATGTCTTATATCTGATCAGGATGCTTCATTGCAGACTGTCTGGAACAATGTCATGCAGAAGATGGAATAGATATTTGTATTTTTTTTTATAGAAGTAGATTTGTTTTTTAACACAATGTCCTAGATCTCAATGCATTTCTGAATTTGTTTTGTCAAGTCTCTCATCTTTTTAGTTAAATTTTGGAGGAGGGGAAGGGGCAAGGGCACGGAAAGTTATTTTCTTCAAGATAAATTATCTTTATCATGCACAAACCTTTTTTTTGCTTAATAGAAAATTTAAGGATACGTAAGCCTCTGGTAATCTTTGGAAATTAAGTATAATTAAACATTAAGAACTTATAGACAACATTTTGTATGATTCATTTAATTGTATATCTGAAGCTATGATATAGTTACTTCTGTGTACAGCTTTTAGAAAAAAAATCATAATGTTACAAAGCACAGGAATGTTAATTTACTGCACTACTGCCTAAAGAGGGGTGTTTCAGTCCACTCTCTACTAATCAATATCCTTAATGTAATACAGAGAGTCTCTGTAGCATTTCCATGCACTTATTATTTGACTTAATGAAGATCACTCTGTTTTGTATGTGCGTGCAAGTTATATCTTTAGTTCATGTAAATCAAGATGAAATTGCGGTACTTTAAGAAAGTGTCGTGGGAGTAAGAAAGGGTTTGGTTATTACAGGTTGTATTCCAGATACTGATATCTGCTGCTGAGCTGTTTAAAGATGTGTTGCTAGGCTCTGTTTCAGCAGCACTTAATATCTTTTCCAGTTAAAAAAACTTTCCAAAAAGTTGTTGTGGTTTTGTTTGGGGTTTATTTGTTTGTTTGTTTGCTTTTAAGTTTTCCTGGCAAAGTTTTAAACTTGTCTGGTGTTTTAATTGATTGAGTAGTAATACTTATCTATTGCCATCTCTCTACTGTAGACAGCTGTCATCTTTTGGGTTTCTGTACCTCCATACTGACATACTACACATTGCACAGCTGTTACCTTACTGAATGTTTACTCATGTTACACAGGGTACAAGAGATCCACTGTTTTTGACTGGTGTGACATTCCCACCGGAATACCCCATCTATGAGGAGACTAAAATAAAACTGACGGTCTATGATGTCAAAGACAAATCTCAAGACACGGTAAGTGCTTTGCCTCATTTCTTCCACAAGTCTTACCGAGTAAGATTTTTCTTACCATGTCGCTCTTTGTCTCTTTTTGGCAAATTTGCAAAGTGGGGAAATAGGTTGATATAGAAATTGGTTTTGTTTTCCTTTTTTGCCGAAAATCTACTTTATCTTTTGTATCTATATTAGAGAATAGAGAAAGAGAGCCATGCACTTAAGGTGGACACTTTGCTGTTGGCTTTTTAGTTGGTTACATGGGTCAACACAGCTATTCCTGGCAAACAAAAGTTGCTCTTCTGTGCTTTTTGAGGGCAGAGAACATATGGAATAGACTGAGATAACAATGCTGTAAATAATTTTTTGGAAAAAAGTTTCTAATATTTTACTTATATGCCCAAACCAGAATGACGGTAGAGCCTGTAACCTGAAGTTTGAGAGAGATAAGATTTTTTTATTTAAATCACTTGTGTGAGGAGTGGCTTTTCTTTGGCTGCTGCTGTTATTGATTTGTAAAAGTCTAAGCTCTACAGTGTTACTGCTAAAGGTGAATCCTTTGGGGTTCTACTGTTGTACATTTTTGGATACAGAGTCAACTTTTTATTATGGCAAAGTTATGAACTTGAGATGATATATGGAGGTTATTGGGACTATTTGAATGATTTAATTGCCAATACATGCTTTGAGTGCCTTGTGCTCCAGGTGATCTAAGACACCCTTACAGATCTAAATGTCATCATAGGACCTACAGGAGAACTGTGTTTTTCTTCTGTGGCATCTGGAGTCCAGCTGTTAGTTTTCTCTTGGGCATCAAGAATGGCCCTTGACACCTGTATTTAATTAGCTGAATTGCTCTTTATGTATCTGTAATTGGCACCCAGTATGATTAAAGACTGTTCAAGCTTATGTCATGACTGTATATGTGTTCATTATCTGTAAGAAGGATATTAGAGGCTTAGTTTACAACTTCAGACTCTCTTTGAACTGCTTACAAAAGTGAAGTTCTATGTTTAGAGAACTCCTAATTTTTTTTTTTTTTTTTTTTTTTTTTTGGTAAAAACTAGGGGACATGTTTGTTTAAATTTTTAAACTTTTTGAGCAAACATGTTGGCTCTGTCTCCTCACTGTGCTTTTTCTGTTTAAAAATAATGGGGAAAGGACATTAATGTGCATTTTCCCAATGTAAATGTTTTAATTTTTGGTTATGGATTAGACTACAGGACCTTAAAATGGGGTCTGCTGTTTAGTCAATAGAGTTGTCAACTGTGAACAGGTAACAAGGATTGAGTGAAGTTTGATTTTGTCCCTTTCAGTTTCATTGTGACTGACAGATGATGGATAATAATATCCTATCAGTAAGAGAAAAAAGTGAACTTCATAGAGCTGTCCCTGTACTACTACAAGCTTGTTATACAGGAGAAGATCTAACCTAGAGGATGAATATAGTTTGATAAGCTTTTTGCAAGCCTGTAAGAACTTTTTATAACTGTTCCTTACCATTGTAGTGCACGACTGGAACGTCTCCCTGAGAGTCCCATTAACATAGCTTATAAGATAGGAGAGAATACCTTTCCCTTTTGTAATAGCATTTATTCTTATGTGAAACATTCTAGATCTGCAGTTTCTAGTACCTTTTTGTAGGGGAAATGTTTATCCCATCTCTGGTTTATGTACATTGAGTGTTTTACTATTGAGGCAGTTTAAAGCTGCATGTAGGTAAGAAAAAATTAGATAAGCTCTAAGATTTAAACCAAGGTGGACTGCAGCATGTATGAATGACCCCAGGCCACCCTGGTTGCAACTTCATTTGTGGAAATATTTAGACTTCTGTTTACATCCTAGAATGTCGGTGACAATAAAACTAATAGCTTGACTTGCTTACCTATAATTGGAAGCTATTGCACTTTCTCTTAGTTCAGGTGACTTTTTTTGAGCCTGGATGTTTATATATATTCATAAAAGTCAGGGTGAATGAGCTATAGCTTGATACCATTGCCAGCATAGCTGCAACAGCACAGACCTCAATGACCCAAGAGATGGGTTGTGTCTCTGGCATTAACACTGCTCCAAGTGCTGTGGCTTTACTGTTCTGATTGTCCAGGCTACAGTAAAGTTGGCTTTCTTGTTCCTCAAGAGCTGCTGCCACAACTGATGGCTGCAAAATGTAGCCCTACCATTCCTCCAAACAGACAGATAAACTACTTGGGGTGGAGGGGCATCCAAGGCTGTTAGGTATGCCCTGGTCTTCTGGGCCATACTTCCAGATCAATCACCAGCTCATATAATTGAGCATTTAGGGCAGAAATAACCCTTGGATCTGACTGCAAAACATTTTGCAGAAATTGGGCAAAAAGCTACAGTAATAATTCCCTCAATGTCAGGGCTACACTATTTGTTACTTCTGTTAATAAGCTCAAAGCATCTAACATCTCTTGTCACAAAGAAGTAGTTTACCTTGTCTTATTTCTCTTTTAATAAAATGAAACTATACGAAGTGAATTCTGTGCATTAATTAAACTCAGCAGGATTTTACTGCCACAAATAGAAGAGTGCAGAGAAGGCAGGGTAAGGGCAGTGGGTACATCACAGGGTAAAGCATTTTCTTGTTTCTTGCCTAAACCAGACTCTATCTATACAAAAGAATTAGGTCTCATTTTCAAACTTGCTGAATTTTTGCTATAATACAAAAATAATTAAATATTACTTGATTTGTACACACAGGTCGTAAATGGTGAAGGGGGATGCTTCCCACTGAGAAACAACCAAAATTTTTTTTTTTGACACTGCTGACATGGTATTTGTGGTGTTCTTTAAAAAAAGATTTCAATAACCTTGCAATGCTGGGATTCCTGTACCAGAAAGCAGATAGTTAACTTCACTCTTGCCTGTCATTTAACTTATATTATGTAAGAAGTGTGGTTTAATTATATTGAAGTACTGTGCAGCTGGGATCACATTCACTCTGCTTGATACACTGACTGTTCTGACTGCACTTTTCACTTTTTATGCATCTCTGTCTGATGTTCATCATAATTATATCTTGGCTTTCTGTAATTGAGGTTTTTAATATAATGAAACAGATTTTTTTTGTTGTTTTTGCTTGTTTGTTTTGACTAGTCCACCTAGTTGATCAAGGGAAGCCAGTCAATGTAATCTTTCTGGATATCAGTAAAGCTTTCAATACTGTCTCTCAGAGTACCCTGCTGGACAGCACACGCCTGGATAAACACATCATGTGGTGGGTGAGCAATGGCTCATGGGTTGAGCACAGAGGGTAACAGTGAATGAGTTGACCTGTCACTAGTGGGGTTCCGCAGGGCTCTATTTTGGGTCCTTGTGCTCTTCAACATCTTCATAAATTACTTGGATGCAGGACTGGAAGGGACACTAAGCAAGACTGCAGATGACACAAAACTGGGAGGAGCTGTTGACTGCCTCAAAGTAGGGAGGCCCTGCAGAGAGATCTTGACAAATTGGAGAGCTGGGCAATCACCAACCATCTAAAGTTCAACAGGGGAAGGTGCTGAATTCTGCACCTGGAATGGGACAGCCCAGGATGTATAGACAGACTGGGGAAGTAGATGCTGGAAAGCAGTACTGGGAAAGGGACCTGGGGGTCCTGGTTGACGTCAAGTTGACCATGAGTCAGCAGTGCCCTGGCAGCCAGGAGGACCAGCCCTGTCCTGGGGGGCATCAGGCAAAGCATCACCAGCCAGGCGAGGGAGAGGATTGTCCCGCTCTGCTCTGCACTGGGGTGGCCTCACCTTGAATATTGTGGCACTTTTGGGCACCACAATGTAAGAAAGATATTAAGATCTTAGAGAGTGTCCAAAAAAGGGTAACAAAGATGATGAAGGGCATGAGGGGAAGCCATAAGAGGAGAGACTGAGGGCACTTGGTCTGCTCAGACTGGAGAAGAGGAAACTGAGAGGAGACCTCCCTGCAGTTACAACTTCCTCGTGGTGGGAAGAGGAGGGACAGGCATTGATCTGTTCTCTCTGGTGACCAGTGACAGGACCTGAGGAAATGGTCTGAAGTTGTGTCAGGGGATGTTTAGGTTGGATATCAGAAAAAAGTTTCTTCCCCCAGAGGGTGTTGAGGCACTGGAACAGGCTCCCCAGAGAAGTGGTCACAGCTGCAAGCCTGACAGAGTTCAGGAAGTGTTTGGACAATGCTCTCAGGCACACGGTGTGATTTTTGGAGCTGTCTTGTGCAGGACCAGGAGCTGGACTGGATGATGCTGATGGGTCCCTTCCAACTTGGTGTATTCTCTAAGTGATTGGTTACTCTTCAGTTTTTATGTAAATAGAAACTTCTAATAAAGACTCGGCTATTCCTACTTTACTTTGATATAGCTAGAACAAAGAAGTTAGAGTGTTTATGAAATATAATTTACATATATCCAGTGAAGCCATGCATACAAAACCGCGGGTAATGTCATAGTATGAAAAATGTATGGTGACATCTGTTCCTACATCACAAAGATTTTCTTCCCATATTGCCATGAGCAAATTTATGTTTAGCTGGCTTGAGCTACACAGTTTTTAAGATTTTAGATAGTTGGGTTTTGTCATAATGCTGGGGCTGTGCCTGTTCTTTAAGTCATTGTCCAATAAGATCGGAATTATAGGCTCAAAAGCTGTTCAAATATTACCTCTGTACTACTTCTGCACAAGAGTACTGTTCTTATCTTTCCTATAGGCATGCAGGTTTTCCCAGTTTGGTCTAGCAAGTTTTAAAACTGTGAAAATACTGCTTAGCACAAGTCAGGTATCACGGCCACATAACAGATCCACAGCAAATAGAGAACTGGTGAATTTGTGCTACCTTAAGAGGAGGGAAATCCTAATGACTAATTGGTGAGGCAGCAGTCTTTGTTGTGTGTTTAGAGTATACGTGTGTGTGTCCTGCAGTAAGTGTTCTGAACTTCACTGAGTAGAGCAGTGTGGGTATGTTTTTAGGCAAGTACTGGAACATGTAACCATGGTGAGGCTTTTGTTTGCTTGTTTCCCAAGACG